TTGAGCAAATTTTACTCTTTTTAGCTTTTATAAGACATTCATTTCGAATTGTAAATTAAAAGAAAAGTTAATAATAAGATCTTGAAACTTATATACATCATTATTCTAAGGGAGAAAACAAAATTTTTCATTGGTTTGATATTATATTGTTTATTAAAATCTTTTACCACACCTAGAAATAAAATTTATATTTAATTTGTGACTATTAAGAGAGTTTTTATTACTTCTTGATCACCCGTTTACCTCGATTTGTACGCTTAGTTTTAATGTAAAAAAAAGTGAGCAAGTTGAGTTCTGGCTTTTTAATATAGATTTTTGTAATTTCGTTCAAAAATATTTTTTTTAATATTTTCTAAAAAGATTTTGTTTTCATATTTTTTCTTCTTCTCTTTTCATTAATCTTTATTATTTTCCATATTTTCTTTTTCTTCTTCTTTTTTCATTATTCTTTATTATTTTCCATATTTTCTTTTTCTTCTTCTCTTTTCATTGTTCTTTATTATTTTCCATATTTTCTTTTTCTTCTTCTCTTTTCATTAATCTTTATTATTTTCCATATTTTCGTTTTCTTCTTCTCTTTTCATTAATCGTTATTATTTTTCATATTTTCTTTCAATGACATGAAAGCGAATAATTTGGTATAATTTCATGACATGAAAGCGAATGAAGCGAGACATGAAAGCGAATAATTTGGTATAATTTCACAAAGTGACTTTTAAAAATTTATTTAAATATTAAGTTTCATAATACAATATATAATTGAAACTGAAAAAAAAATCTTATACCTTAAAAACGAAAAGAAGAATTTTTAATTTAAAATAATATTTTACCTCAATTACCTGCTTATTTCAGAATAAATATGAAAATCGAGACACGTTTAAATTCAAAATTAAAATATGCTCTAATTTCAAAGATAACTTCCATTTCAAATATTTTTTATATGATATATAACAAAATAAACAGTCCACTTTTGAAGCCTCGTTGATTTCGCAGAGTAAGATAAATATACTATGGCATTTAAAAATGCATCATTTTCTTTTGAAACACCTAAATAAGTGTGTTTCATGGAGTCGCTTAAATTTTTTATCCATAAAATTAATTCCTTTTTCGTGTATTCTTCCAAATATATTTTCTTAGAATAGAAACTTTAAAGTGTGACATGTGTTTATTCTTTCCTTTTGTCAATAAATTTTTTTTTTTATTTTCTTTTAGATAACTTCTTCGCCTCCTCGCTTGGTTTTATTTTCCTAGATACTGCTTCATACAGTTTAAAGAGAATCTATTTTTATTTTCTGACTTAAATTTAGTCCTTACTTTTTTACATCTTTCTGTAATTTAAAATTATTACTTCTATTTCAGAGAAATTTAAAGCGTAAAAGAAATTAAGTAACTTATTTTGTATACTTTATTTTTAATAAACTTTATGCCCTAAAACATGAAGAAAAAAAAACAATTTAAAAAAGAAAAATCAATAGTTTTTTCTGAAATGTTTATGCATTTAGAAACAATTTTGAAATCATTTAATTGAACGGGAGTTCGAATCCAGCCAGCCGAAGACTCCCCGTGTAAAAATTGTGAGTGATGCTCGTTAAATCTGTAGAGTCACAAAGTGCTCCATGTCGCATAACAAATTATATCTCTCGGGGTACTGTATTCAAGATTGATCGTCTTCTGGTTCAAGTCAAAATTTCGATCTGTGGATGAATCAATGGATATATCAATGGGTCTGCCCTATAAACGGGTGTGACGTATGGATGTGGAAGAGGTTAAATTCTAGACCTTAGATGGCGCCACTGTTAAACAAGAGCAAACACATACCTTGCCTTAATGGCCTGGGATAAAAACAACAACAATAATTTGATTTGAAACTATGATTCTAAGCCATTTCATCTATCATTGTTTCTATGATTTATGTTTGTTATCTAGGTGATGTTTTCTGTGTATCACAACGAATTTTTTCCTGAATTTTAAGGCCTTATAAACCTTTTTACATTTAAATGAAGTGAAAACAATTCCTAAATAGTTGAATTGGCTTTATGAATCAATTTTCAATCAAATAAGCAAAACCACTTGGTCCTAAGTTTATAAAGTTTTAGTTCATCTAAAACAAATAAAATTTCGACAACAGTTTAATAGACTTTATGGAATAAATTTCAAAACTTTAAAAAAAAGTTAAAAAGCTTAAAAAATTCAAAATTCCAGTTGAAATTTGCGCACTGTAGCTGAGCAACTGATCGATATATCGATTTCCAATATATATATACTAGAGGGCTCCGACCCCTGCTCGCTACCGCTCGCGAACCCCCGATAACTGCTACGCAATTACATTTTTGTTCGCTTTGCCAACAAAATTAAAATCGTTTTTCTGGAGATTAGCTGGCAATTTTTCTGCACTAACATCACATAGAGAAAATATGATAGGATTGTAATATGTCAAAGGTCCTTGTTATCAGCATTATAAACTTATATAAAGCGAGGAAGCAATATTATTTAACAAATTACTATAGGGCATTAGCTGCAGATTAAAGTCCGTATTCGAAGCACAAGTGGCTATATTTGAGGTTGCCCCTTGATTCTCGCCAAGAATCGCGGTTGATCACCAAGCTGGGCGATATTGAAACCCAATCGTGATTCTGATTGGTTTAGATTTTAGCGCTGTTTTTAAATGTTCAGCTGTGTATGTGATTTCAGAGATCCGTTAGTTCAAAGTTGGATACCGGCTGGTAAGGTTACTTTTTCTTCTGGTCAATAAGATCGAAGGTATGTGAACAGTCATAAAAAGGGACTTTAGAAAAAAATGTCATCGCCAGTCCGGTACCACAGACGCAATTTTCGATTCGTATTTCGCCGAAATTATGTGGCGATGGAGGTACACAGATTCTATTCATGATAAATTTAGACAGTATCCACTAAAAGGCAGTGATG